GTGTTCTCTCTCTTGGGGGATGAGGAGAGAGGATCTATCCCTCCTGGATAAATCCATGTGGCACATCATGGATTCAGTGCATGCAAACAAAATCAGCTCMCATGTAACATGAAGATCTCCAGAGCAGGGTTGGCTCACAGCAGAAACCACCCTGTCTTGGCCAGCAGGACTTAGGGAAGTTATATTCTCTCCCCAGGTTAGAAATGACAGGACAAGAAGAAAAAAAACCTCAAGCTGCACCAGGAGAGGTTTAGGTAGGATATTAGGAAGAAATTCATTAACAAAAAAGTGGTCAGTCATTGTGCCAGGCTGCTCAGGGCAGTGATGGAATCACCATCCCTGGAGAGATTTAAAAGATGTGTGGATGTGATTTAATACTGGATTAACAGCTGGGCTCAGTAATCTTAGAGGGCTTTTCCAACCTAAACCTGACACACRAAATAGTTCACAGTGAGCTGCAAATGCACATGAGACCCTGGGTTACTTCTGAATCTGCTGGGATTTCACTTCCACTCCTTGCTGCCTTCAGCCTCACCCAATTTCTTTCAAGCTGCTGCTGAGACCTTGTGAAGGCCAAAAAATGCCAACTGAGGAGGGAAAATGTGACTTTTGCAAAAGGCTTCTGTGTGAAGCTMAAACCTCCAGCTTGAGCCTCAGCTGTGTGATGCTCACTTCCATTTTCCATCTTGTGACACTACCAAGCYTTATGCACAGCCTGCCCACGGCTGCCTGTGGTGTCTCTGCTCCTGAAATTCCACACTCTAAAGTTTGTGGGGTTTTTTTTGGAAGTGCAGCTTCCTCCTTGTGACCACCAAGTGGTGCTCTGCGCTGCACCTTGCAGCAAAACAAGCTGTTGGCGTTTCGGGATGGGGCTTAAAAAGCAGTTTTTAGATGTGGGAAGGAGCCAGAGAGGAGAAGAGAAGAAGCTGAGAGTCTTCTCCTTCCCCTTTTCAGCGGCTGTGCTGCAGGGATCTCATTATTCACAGCTCTCTGCTGTGGCTGCCTGGTGATTGATGGAGCTTGGTGATCATCAGATGTGATAAGTGGTCTCAGCACTTTCAATTTGGGTGTTCAGCTTGGCTGCCTGGAGGCTTTGGAGACAGGGAGATGGCTATCTGCTGGATCCTGGCAGGTGTGTGTCRCTGAGGTTGTTAAAAATCACAAGAAGCTGCTAAAATCCTTGTCCCAGAGCAGTTTTTCAGCGATAAAAATCYGATGCCTCTTCTGTCTTGGCTGTTTTTTCCACTCAGTCTAGGGAAAAAAGCTGTTTTCATGTTCCTCTTCTCTGGTGTTCTGGCTGTTCTGCTGTTAAGTTTTTGGGATTRTTTGTAGCTCTCAGCAGAGGGAAAAGACCTCCATTAACTTGTCTCTGCAGGTTTCCTGCGAGCGCTCTCCGGGTGCCACTCTCAGCTTTTGGTATGAAAACATGCAATTTTGACAGAGAAAATTCCGATGTCGATTTTAAATGACGGGCACATTACAATACAGAAACTGCCTGTAAAATGCAGGGGGAATTTAAGGGGTAAACAGGATCCCTGTGAGATCCATTAGATGATCTGTGTGATGTAATTTTGGCAGGAATGATATTTCCAAGTACCCAAAGCCATGCCATGATGCAGCCAAATCCCCAACAGCAGCTCATTTGTATGGAATTCAGGGGTAGAACTGTGAAAAGTAGGACTGGGATTGCCTTGTCTGGTGAGCTGAGGAAAATATGAAATGTTTGGCAGCAAATCCTTGGATTATGCGGGAAGGAGAGGCTGTGGTACAGCACAGGGGATCAGTGGGTTTGTGATGTGCGTGATTCCTCTGGATATTCCAACCTGTGGAGGCCAAAGGAAGGAGCAGCTGACCCCATTTAATCCAGGTTGGATTGTCCCCAGCCTAGATGAGATACAGCTCCAGCAAAAATAAAGGGATGTCTGGATAACAATTGGCAATTTGGTTGGATTGTTAGTTTTTAATGTGGTTTTCGACCCCCAGCTGCCCTGTTGCCTTTTTGGCTGGTTTTAGAATTATGAGGCAGGCATGGTTAAATGGATAAAAGGGTTTTACTTTGATATTTTTATAGGATCTGTGGTGCACAGCTCATAAAAAAAAAACACCACAGCTCATCTTTGGAAAACACCAAAGATGCACCCCGTGTATAACACGTATACAATTTTTACACARATTAGCCTATCTATCTAGAATTCCCCAATAAGAAACTTTAAAAATGAAGTAATGCCCCCCTATTTTAAAGAATCCCCCTCCAGCTGAGGCCAGAGCCCACTTTCTATTCTAGAGAAAAGGCTTCAACCAAGGTTGGAGCCTCGAGTTTTGAGATAACGTGGGGCTCACTGGCCTCCCACTGAGGTTGTTTGGTCTGCTCAGCAAAACCCCAAAACTGAGCTGGAATATCAGGATACAAGAATTACAAGCATGTAAGGAACAAAGAAAACATAAAGAGTACAGAAAATATSTAAAAGGGTAAATAAAATAAATAAAAGGGTGTATTAAAAAGAAAAGGCAAAAATCATGAGGCATCACTCAGATGCAAGGTGATGGGCTCTTCTAGTGTGACTGCACCACAAGAGAATTTTTTTTGCAGGGCTGAGTAGTGTTGRTGCAAATTAGATAAAAGAAAGCATAAATGTTTAGATTCTCAGCTTTGGAAAACRAGTTGTGAGAAATTCAAAGCGTGTCTTTGTTCCAGATATTATCTGTCCCTTCTGGGTGGCTCCATCAGTCACTATTAAATATGMAGATTCTGGCATAGGATATCCCTGACACTTTGGTAACTTTGTAATTTGGGAAGAGAAACTGTGGGAAGGCTGGTTCTGTAGTGCCCTGCTCAGATCTTTGGAAATAGGATGTGGAAGAAAGGGCTTTTGGTTTGATCCATCGTGGTGGTTCCTGTGTTGTAGGTAATAGTGATAAAATATGGCTTAAATGTTTATTTTTCCATATGTTAACAGTACAGGCAGTTTTGGGATAGATGGGTATCTGGTTAGTGGAGAATTTACAGAATCACAGAATGGTTTTGGTTGAAAGGGACCTTAAAGATCACCTTGTTTCAGCCATGGGCAGGGACACCTTGCACTAAATCCACAGGAATTTCCCCAGGGTCAYGTTTATCTGCTCTCCATGAAGTGTTGGCTTTGCTGCTTTCCTTCCAGCACTTTCCAAGGCCAGGCTGGATGGGGTTTGGAGCATCCTGGGACAGTGGAAGGTGTCCCTGCCCATGGCAGGGGGTGGAATGAGATACTCCTGAAGGTCCTTTCCAACCCAAACCATTTTGCAGTTCTATGTATTAACTTTTCCTTGGTCACATCTTTGTCTGGTGCAAATCTGTCGTGACAGCAGTGCTGGTGTGAACCTGCTGAGGGTCCTGCTGAGGATCCCTCATTGCTCTTCTCCCACATCCAGCACACATCAAAGCAGGAAGCTTTTCCTGGAGGAGGAACTGCAATTGGGCTGGAAGGCAGCGCCCCTTCCAGAGYTGGGAAACACTCAATAATTGAGTTAAAAATAGAGCCAGCTTATTGCTGCCTCCAAGATTGGAAATCAGGGAGATAGCTAATCACTTGAGCTGTAATTAGTTAAGCAACGAGCTCTGTAGTTACAGACACCCAGGTGTTGGTACACATGCACATCCTTGTTTGTACCCTGCTGTTAGGAAGCAAAAAATTACTGTGTTTCCAACTAATTTGRGAGTCTGAGACAACATCTCCTCGTTCCTGAGCAACTTCCAGTGGTGATGAGCTCTTCCAGATGAGCCCCTGTGGGTGTTTTTCCTGTAAAGAACAGGCACAAGTTYGTTCAGCTGCTCTGCCTTTGGAGGAGCTCAGCTTGGTGCTCATCTGTGAACCTTCTGCCTGGTGGGATATCTCCTGATGTTTCTTTTCTGTCTCCCTGGCCAGAGGGTGAGGAAGAGGAAGAGGATGAAGAGGAGGAGGAGGAGGAAGAAGAGGAGGAAGAGGAAGACGAGGAGGACAAAGACATAGACCTGATGGATGAAAGCATGGAGGGTGACACGGAGCTGCCAGGCTTCACAATTCCAGGAGAAACCTCCCAGGAGCCCATGGCTGGCCTGGAGAACCCTGTGGCTCAGCTGGCTGGSGTGTCCTACCAGGTTCCTGACACCATCGAGTGGGAGCAGCAGAACCAGGGGCTGGGTAAGAGAAAAAACAGAAAAAAACCCTTTTTTTCTTTGCCCTTACAGAGGACACAGCTCCTGCTCTGCACTCTGCAGGAAATCTCACAGGCTGGCTCTCAAGCTAAACACAATTGTGGGTTTTAATAGTGTTGTCTTTGCTCCAAGGGTGGACAAAAAGATATTTCTCAGCCGAGATTCCAGGGGAAATTCCAGTTTCCTTTGCCCAAGATGGGTTGGTGTAAGGATATTTGTCCTGTGGGGATGAAGTGATTTGAGTATTTGCTCATCAGACCATTTGCTGCTTCAGCAGCATTTGTCTAAATTCCACTTTTCTGGCATTTTAAGAGGTGCATGGTCCAGCCATGGGGTCAGTGCTGGCAGTGTTCAGACAAATCTGCAAAGCCTCTATAAAGCTTTATACAATTTATTCCCACTGTGTGTACTGGCCCTGTGTTTAGTGACTGCACCAATTCACTCCATCTGGGAATCAGTGTTTGTGTGTCTGAAGTGATGGAAACCAAAACTGGTGTGGGTCAAGGTAAAGCACAGAAAGGAACTTGTCCAGCTTGACAAAAGGCACTGGAATCGTTTCCCAGTGTACTCAATTCCCAAACCAAGCCCCATCGAACACAGTGGGAACTTTCAGGTGAATTTCTGGGAGCTGAACCACATTTAAACAAAAGTTCTTTATATCTGACTGTTAGAGAACTAGCTGTTCTAAGAAGCTCATCAATTAAAAAAAACCCAAACTTTTTTTGTTTTGTGTACCACATATATCCATGTGATTTCTGTCAGTTCCCCTGAGTGTGTAATTCTGATTTAACCCAGTGGTTCTGCCCCAGTGGTGCCATTTCCATCCTGCTTTAGTGATGTTGAATGAATCAAAGATTGTGTTTCCAGAACTCTGTGGGAGTTCTGCACCAGCWCTGATCCCTCCCTGTCACACTAAATCCATTTGGAAAATGCCCTTTTGGGTGGTGGCCATGCCAAGCCTGTCTCATGTGTCCTGTTATCCCATCAGGCTGCACAGGAGCTGTGTGAGGGGAATAATTCTGAATCTTTAAGGGTTTTTGGTTATCTGTGTGAAAGAGGTGCGTGGTGCTGTGGGATGTGACAAAGTTTGCCATGAACTTTGGGGTTTTGGAGGTTGTTCTGCATCAGGCACTGCTCAGTTCATGGTTAGAAGCTGATGCTGTTCCTCAGACCCTGAAAGGGCATCTTTCCAAAAATTTCAGATGAGGAATAAACAGAATACGTGGCAAAAGGCAGGGTCCTTCTGCCTAATTATGTTTTATTGACTTTCGTGCAAATTGGGGGAGCCCCTGTGAAGTTGGGTCTGCATCAGAGTGATGAGTGAGCCCCTGAAGGACTGGGCTGATGTGAATTTTGGAGTTCTCTGTGAAGCTGGGTCAGTGTCAGAGTGATGAGTCTGAGCCCCTGAAGGACTGGGCTGATGTGAATTTTGGTGTTCTCTGGCAGGTCCTGACTGGGTTACACCTCACCAGATCCAAATGGTTTGGGTTGCCTTTTGTTTTTGGGCTGTTGCAGTCAGTGCAAACATCCCTGATGGAGAGGATGTAGCTGTGGCTGAGTTCATTTTTAGGAGTTAGGTGGGATTTCTGTGCAGTGCTGTGCTGGCAAAAAAAAAAGGGCCACAGTGGTAGCAGGCTCTCTGCTTGTGGCTCCCCACTCTGGTTCCAGTTTCCTTCTGGAAAGGGTTTTGTTCTTTTCCTGTCAGGATGACCTCAGTGGCTCTGTGACATTGCTTCCTTCCCATCTGCACTGTGCTGGTGCTCACGGTGCTCCTGAGGGGAAGGGAAATGATTTATGTTTCAGAGACACAGGGAAAATGGAGCTGGAAGAGGAGATTTGAGCTAAATGATCTTTAAGGTTTCTTCAGTTCGAGCCATTCCATGATTTTGTACTTCTGTGGGAGCCAAGAACTTCCATGAGCTCACATGGAAGGAGATGAACACAGGGGATCAGAGCTGATTTCTGGGATGAGTGGAAAATGGGAGATATTTCTGCAGAAGTGAAGCCCTTCCCCTCTCCATTTTGTTCCAGGTGGGAATTTCTGCCCTGGTTCCCAGCTCTGGGTTTGTGGGTGCACATCAGGTACCTGTGTGTCCATACCTGTGTCCACACCTGTGTCCATACCCATGTGCTTCTTGATGGAGTGCATTTGGGAGAACAGGAAAAGTGGAAAAAGCACACAACTTGTGTCAGCAGGACACAGTGAGTTGTCAGAAACAGAAGAAATCCCCCAAATCCTGGCAGGAAGCTGGAAGAGCTGCTCCCATTGCTCTGATGGAGACACCATGCTCACTGTAAAGGCCTTGTCAAGCTTTAGATCTGCTGCAGGGGGTATTTTTTTCTTTGAAACCCCTTTTCTCTGGGTGATTTTCATCTTTGCAAATCCATTTCTTTTAATTTTGTAGCTGCTGGAGGAGCTGGGTCAGGGGTATGGTGCTCCTGTCTGCCTCAACCCATGGTGGGAGCATTTGTGCATCCCAGGGCTGAGCTCTGTGTCYTTTCCTTCAGTAAATACTGCTCTGAGAAATTCCCCAGACTGTGTGAGTTGAGCAGGGTTTGGAAATGGAAAGTTGTTCTGCTTCATCCTGGATTTTGGGGATATTTCCCTGAAGAAAAGGAGCAGTACYCAACAGATTGCAGGGTGAGGGGACAGCATCCAAGCACCAGACTYTCACAGGTGACATTTTCCATTTTCAAAATACTTTGCACACTTGTCTTCCTCCTGGGGACACTTCTGTCCTCCACCCTTCAGAATTGTGACATTTAACACTGAAATCTRTAGCTCAGGAGTGTTGGAATAGCTGTTCTCAGGTCAGTTATTATTGAGTTTGCTTGTTCTGATGGCTGACACGCTGCAAATCCCCGGGGAGCGAGGAACTTGATCCACAAAACAGCTTGGCAGAACAAGAGACAGTTTGGATTTTTTGGAGTGGTCAGTGAGGAGGCACTGGAGGAACAGAATCATTAAAAATGTCAGTTCTGGGCAGTCAGATGGTCCTGCATTAACTCCAGCTGAGCAAAAGCCATTTATAAGCACCAGTAACAAGACTGACAGTTTTACAGCCCATCAGCTGCYTCTCTAACCAGCAATATTTAGGCTATGAGTAAAGCAGAAAATGGGAAAATCTGTGCCTTTATAAAACAGAATTTGAATCTCCAAGAGCTGTTCTGGCAGCCTTCTGGGGAAACAAGGTCTGGATATGATTTGGGATCCGATTTGGTGTCCTGTTCAAGTGCTTTGCTTTCAGGGGTTGTCACAGAAAGACAGAGCAGCACTTTGGGACCTCTCTGCATTCTGGGGGAGGTGACTTTGGTGTCTTTATACTTTTTTCTTGATTTGTGTATAGGTGGTGTGTGGGAGGCAAACACTGAATGCCTTCAGAAGGGCAGGAGGACTGGGTGTATAACTTGAATTTTCAGGGAATAAATGAAAACACCTGATTTTCCCTTGCTCCCTCTTTTGTGATGCATTACCAGAACTGCAGTTGGCTGAGGTGGGGTCAAACCTGGTGAAAAATTTATGGTCCTTTAGTCATTCCTCTTGTATGTTAAAGCAGATGGTCTTTGTTGTGCAGCTCCAAGGGGATCAAATCCCTCCCTTCTGTTGGTGGTGGCTTCTCCCAGTTTTCAAGAATATTTATTCTCTCAGTTCTGTGAGAATTTTTTGATTTAACAGCAATGAGCCAAGAGGAAAATGGCCCCAGACTTCCAAGCCATTTCCTGGTGCCTTAGTGCTTGATTCCACATCTTAAGGTGAAGGATCTCTGCTATCCCCACTAGGTAACAGCAGGAGGTCCTGGGCATTTTACCAAGCCTTTAATTTTACCACTTTGGGCCATTCAGTCGTTTGGGTTGTGCATTTAAAATGCATGGAGTTGGTGTTTTATCCTTTCTCAATTTAGGGTCCGTTTGATACAATTTCTGTGTGTTTGCTRACATGGTTTTGCACTTTGCTCTGTCTTCATTGATCTGCAGTTCCATATTCCATTTGAATTTACTGTCTGTGGTGGCTTTTATCTCTGCTAGGTACTATTTTTTTGTTCTGTTTTACCCTAAATCCATTTTTGTCCAGGTCTGCCTTTCCTTAGCTGACCCTTTGGGGTGTTCTTTGCATCCACCTGTTTATGGCAAAGCCATATTTCAGGGCTCTGACTTGTCAGGTGTYACCTGAGTTTTCTGATTCCACAGCTTTTATTAATATTATAAATGTCATATAAAATATATATATTTGTATATAAAATATATATATGTGTATTATATATTACATATAACATCATAAGTTATAAATATGTTATTTGTTGTTTTCCATCTCCCCTTGGAGGAACTGTACACAGGGAGTCCAGACCATCCCTGAGGATAGGATTTAGGGATATAAAAAAAACCCCAAAAAACACAGCATTTTAGGAAGAAGTTATGAAGTGGGACAATATAATTCCAAAATAAAAATCAGGTCTGTGTTTCATGTATTTTTGTGGGTTGGACATCAGTTCTTACCGTAATGGAAAGTTGTATAAATCTCTGAGGTAATGATGAGGCACTTGCATAATAAACACACTTTTGGAATGTTTTTTTTTTTGGTTTTTTTTTTGGTAATGGATCAAAATATTTGCAGCTCTGAGCAGCTACTTACAGAGAAAATAGCTCTGGCTGTATTGCAGGTCTGTGGTCACAAATTACACTGCATAAACCATATAACAGATGCCTCTGGTTAATGATGGTGAGGCAGAGGAGCAGAAGGACAGTAGTGGAAGATGATGAATGTTTGAAATGTCATTTTTTACAGGAAGACAGGATTAATGCTTTTGTGGGCAAAAATAACCAGCATTAGGAAGGCAGGAGCTGCGACTCAGGAATTAGTAATATGTTCTTTAATTGCTGCCCCAAATGGATCTATTTTAGGTATTCTTACAGCTCGTGGTATTGGAACATCACAGTGCCTTTTAATCTTTAATGCATTTATCTCCTTAATCATCCTGGCAAGGCTCATCTSTGTTTTAAAGGTGCTGAGCAAAACCAGGGAGAAGCCCAGAGACCCCTCTGGTTTCACCAGGGAGCCTTTGGCAGAGTGGGGATTGAAGGAGAGGAATTAAATCAGTGTTTGAGCATTGCCTTTCCCTCCTGGAGGAATGATGTGCACGCCTGCATTTCCCCCTGGAATGGAGGCAAAGCATCACTCAGAGAGTCACCATCCCAACAGAAGGGACAGAATCTGTAGGAATCCCAGCTGAGAGAGGTGGAAGGAGCCAGGATGAGGAGTTTAAYCAGCAGATTTTCCTTCCTCATGTGTTCCAAGTGCAGCTCTGCAGCAATCCTGCCCTCGGTGCCTTCACCCCAGACCTGTTTCTGGGAGTTTTGTGGCACCAAGCCCTGCCTGTGTRAGATCTGGGTTCCAGGCAGCTGCARACAGAAATGAGCARTCTCAGAAAYRGAGAYGATTATTTTTCCTGTCTTTCTGGRWGCTCCAAATAATTTATACAGTTCCATATGTTCCTTGCTAGCTGCCCTTCCCTCTCCCAAGCAGCAGCAAAGCTCCCACCATCAATCTGTGCCCAACTCATGAGCGATGTGTGCTCCCTTTGGAGCTGCTTCTTTTCACCTGAGAGTTGGAATCTTGCACTGATCAGATTTGCCTTGTCCAAGGGAATTCTGCATCCTGTCTGTGAGCAGTGATGGTCCCTCTGCCAGCTTGGAGTGACATTTGCTGTTGTAATGACACAGCAGCTCCCAAGAGGGGACAATCCCCATCAGAGGTGGTTTTTTCTTTTTGTCACATCTAATTCCAGGGTGTTTTGGGGAGTGTGTCTCTTTAATATTCACTCTTTCTTCAGCCTGCTCGCTCCTTGCATTGCTCCATGCTGAGGTTTTGGTCAGTGGCACCTTTCAGGAGGCACAAAACTGGGACAGGGCTGAGCCCTTTTGTGCTTTTCCCTTTTTTTTTCTTTTTTCATCCAGAACAAGACTGCTGTGCCCTTGGGAATGAGGGCATTGTGTTTTGAAGGGAAGGCAGG